GTTTCATATCCAATCATCCTCTTGGGTTGAGTTAATCACATGGGCCTCTTACCACTGGAAAGACAACTTTGAATTCCATAGCAACTCAATTTCCAAAATGAGTTTGGTATCTCTGGTTTATAATACTTGGACCGAGCGTAACAAGAGAATTTTCCAGAAGAAGAATCTCTTGGCCATTCTTCATCTCACATTGGAATCCATTCGATCCAAGCTACTACATTCATCAATCACGGATTCGCATAATGCAAGAAGAGTTGCGGGACTCCATTGCAAGACCTCCGGCCAAACCACTACATCAGAGGAATTGAAGCTTGAAGCTCGCAGTAGGGAATGAGCCCCACGTTCACCGGATTGCAAGGATGACTATTACGGTCATATATTGAGCATTTGAATGCTGTTCTTGGGCTGGGTGCACTTGGGTTTAATGTACTTGGGTTTAATGTACACTTGGCCTATTGCGGTGGTGGTTTTTGGACCATGCTGCCTTGCTTTGGCCTGTAAAACTGTTGATATATATTTATAAATTGAAAATTTAACTTTCAAAAAAAAAAAAAATTTGGTTGCACAATCAAATGGTAAAATAAAAAATAAAATTGTTATTCTTTTAGTATCGCTAGTTTAGGAATGACATCAATAGATTGAAACTGGACATCTAAACTAGAGTTATTTAATTAGTATGTTTATTGCTGAACGAACTGAATAGAGTTGTTTAATTAGTACATGTTCTTTTTAAGTGATTAGTTGAACTTTGCTAGATTATCTTTGTTTGTACTAAGCTAGATGTTCAGGCATGCATGTCCAATTTTTCAAAAAAAATCCATATCCGAGAAAACATCCCACCTTGATGGGTGAATAGTTGGTTACATTGTTGGTTGAAATACTACTTTTACCAAAGGATAAAAGTAATGCCACTATTTATGTTATGAATAATACTTCAAGCAGATCCATTTTCATGGGTGGAGGCTACCATTCACGAAACAAAATTTCATCTCTAGTGGTAGGAACAAGCAGACAGAATTGCATCAAGGTGGTAGTTGAGAAAAAATTGTAATACATATATTTTTTATTAGCGGAGAAAATTGCATCAACGTTGATTTGCTTATGTGGTTTGGAAGCGAAAACAATGGTTTGTTACTGTCTGTAGTACAAGACAAATGTTTAAATTTTATATTTGAAGTAATACATCTTCTTTTATGCCTCATTTCGCTCTCCATTTCTTATAGTATATCTTCTTTTGATCCTTCAGATGTCAGCATATTAATGGAAGTATGTAACCTCCTTTTTCTGATGTCGGTCTCATATTGACTGAAGTATGTGACCACCTTCAACACGGCATATTGACTGCAATATGTAACCTTCTTTTTCTGATGTGGGTGTCATTTCGGCTGAAGTATGTGACCACCTTCAACACCTCATATTGACTGAAATATGTAACCACCTTTTCTCCTTTTTCTGAGGTGGCTCTCATATTGACTGAAGTATGTGACCATCTTCAACACGGCATATTGACTGAAATATGTAACCACCTTTTCTCCTTTTTCTGAGGTGGCTCTCATATTGACTGAAGTATGTGACCATCCTCAACACGGCATAGTGACTGAAATATGTAACCACCTTTTCTCATTTTTCTGAGGTGGCTCTCATATTGACTGAAGTATGTGGCCACCTTTTTTCTGAAGTGGGTCTCGTATTGACTGAAGTATGTGATCACCTTTTTCTGGTGTGTACCTCAGTAACTCTGTGAGGTGTTTCGCTATGGTTCTGCATAAACAACCGTTTTCACGTTAACTCCATAACGTCTTCATCGGTGCTGTTGATTCACATATATATACAGATAGCTAAATACAAAAACGAGATAATATTAACTGAAGTAGGCTACTACTTCTTTATGATTTCTACTTATTCAATAAACACTCCATTAGATTGCCAAATAAATACTAACTACATCTTGACAGAATTAAGGTGAGTAGTTATTAGGAGTAAGTTGGTTAAAGTTTCATTCCAAGACAAGGTTGGTTAAAGTTTCACTTGGAATGACATTCAAAATATAAGGATAGTTTGAACTCAAGACCTAATAAAGCCGGACATTTATGGAGGGAGCCAACTGAAGCCCTACATTTCTTTAGAGGATGGAACATGATTGATATTTATATATATGTGTATTTATTTATCAGAAATAAGATTATTTTATTCTGTTAGTTTAATTAGTACTGTATGTTATATATTCAGAGATTAGGTGACATTGCGAAATTAGATTTTGTAATCTAAGTTCACACATCACTCAAATCTTTACTATATCGATGTTGTTAGGTGGTAATCGCTCAAGTTTTGAAGGAGTAGAGAATGATTTTTGACCTTGGAATATATGGCTCTAGGTTTGTTTGTATTCTTATTTTTTTTAAAACTAAATTATTACTAGTAGTTTGAATCATTTATGGATAGAAGAATGTGAAAATTATCCTACTAACAACACAATACATTAAAATAAATAAAATAGCATGATGTGAATGCAATTAATATGGAGAATATATTACCTTCAATCCTAGCGAGACAAGCTGCAAGAAAAGTTCAAGATCAAAGTTGACATCAGAATCCTTTATGCTAATTTACAAACATTCAGTCACCACACTGCTAGCAAACAATTCATAAACATTTTAATCACTAAGTGAACATCACTAAGTATTTGTTCTCTTTCTGAAAATTTTGATGCTTCGGTTGGTGAAAAAAAAACATATCACTTGCACTGTTTCCTGATCGAGTGCAAATACCGTGACAGTAGTTTTGTGCCAAAATTTCAACACAAAATAGGATATAACGCATATTATATGTCGAGAACTGTTTTGAGAAGGGCAGCTGCCCGAACTGCCCGGCCGTTATGGACAGCTCTGATTTGCCTTACATAATGCCTTCGATATTCGAGTCCAGCCATCGTGATTCGCGATAACAATGGTGCATGCCTGACACGTGACATGCATAATGGCGTTGCTTCGACACACGAATATGGTGCATGCCTGACACGAGTCATGGAGAATGGCGGTGTTGACCGTGTTGTATTCAAATTGAAGGAATACAGAACGTCGGGCTAAGGCCCAAATAAAAGACCAGGGCTACGAGCTCTAAGCTTGCAGGGCAACGAGCTCTAAGCTTGCAGGGCAACAAACAACCCATTCCAGAAAGAACAAACAAGCCCAAATAGGTATCGAACATATCTAAAAGCAATCCATTAACAAAAGACCAACTAAAAAGCCCACAAATGACACGAGGCTAAAAAGCAATAACGAACTAGAATCCGATCAACTATTTTCAAAAAGTAATTTCAAAAAGTGATAGGACGCTTCTAAACCTAAATTTAAAATTATATTTAAATTTTTAAAATATTATAATTATCTTTCTTTTATATGATAATCTATTATTTAACATTCGATATATTGTTATTTATGTGATTATATGTTTATATTAGTTTATTGTTATCCTCTATCATCCCTGACTTTGGATTTTTATTATTATTTTCTGATTTTTATAATAGTGTAACGTAGAGCAAGCTTGCCACAGTGAGGGATAGAGTAGGTGACAAAAGCGACTATATATGCTTCAAAGGCAGGCATTTAGATCGACTATTGTCATGACACAGTTTTTGACCTGGTGTGCGTCACTGCATCCAACTAAAAAATGGGAAGAACACCGCTTGATTTTAATTTTATATATGTCGGTGGAGGCTCCTCTACACAAGAGAACTAAGTCATCCTTTTAAGCGATATTAAAGGGTATGTTTAATTTGTTGCTCAGAAAATAATACTCAACAATTCAAAAAATAAAAAAAATATTTTAAGACAAATATAAAAGACACAGTTTTATAAACTCAAAAATGCATTTTTATTATCTCAAACATACATTTTTATAATTGAATTTTCAGAAAATTGTACCAAGTAAAGTTTTTATGCAACAAAAATTTATTTTTTAAGTGACAAATCAAGCAAATCCTAATTATCTTCAAGTTGTAATGTAAAACATATCATGAAATTTTATATGGATGGGTGGGACTGATATAATTTGTAATGTAATTTTAACAAGTCTGTTTCAACTTGCAAAACTCACTCCTAATTAAAATCTGTCCAATAATCATGGTAACTTTGCATATGATATTTGTAGCTTTGTGGTTAAATTTTGTCTTTTGAGTTTAATGTTTTTTGAATTTTTAAGTCATGTAAGAAAATTGTCTAATTTTTTGAATTTTTGTTTGAGGTTGAAACCTACTTGAATAGTTCAGATTTTTGGTAAATCTTATTCCAATTTTTTGATAATTTTTTAAGTTAGTGCCAAAATAAGCTGTTTTTAGGATTTTATTGCCTATATACGTAGCAGTTGTAGTATTGAATAATTAATTATTAATCATTAAAAATTATTAAAATACCTTTTTCTGAACTGATTGAGAATCTTCTTGACCCAACACCTTCAATAATTGTTTGTGAGCCTATAGTCATGAATTCTTGTCGAATATGGATGTAGCGGGTCTTCGACATATAAGAGTGAGTGTTAGTACCATTTAATAATCTAAGTATTTGGATCAGATTTTGAAGCATCTTATTCGTGACAAATAGTATTAAAGCGGGTTCAATTCTTGATTTGGTGTCACGTCAAACGCTCACATAGAATTGTTTAAGCCGTAACTAGTTCATCCATTAGAGTGAACGGATAAGTCTGGAATATATAAGATTTGATAAGTGTTAGCACCACCTAATAATTTAATCTTTGGATGGAATTGTAAAGCACTCGGTCCATGACATTAAGGTGTCATTTCTCTTCAGCAACAGGTTTAATCTTGGAATCATCTAATTATTGCAGGTTACAAATGGCTACTACAAAACATACAAGTGGTCCAAGACAAGACAATCCAGTCATTGGTGGTGGTCCAATCCTCCTGTTGCTTGAATGCAACCTCCTTAATCCTTATTATAGAATGGACATTCATGTTCCGTATAAACACATGCACCTCATATGAGATGTTCATCAATCTTAATTCTCAGTAATTAATCCTTCAAGCACATAGCTTTAATGGCTTATCCTTTGTGTTTAAGCATTAGCACTACAAAACTCATACCACTAGCCTTGTTCAGCCTTCTATTAGGCCTTGTCAAAGACATTCTCAAGGTGGTATTCTCTTGTCTCCCTCTTCCAAACAGAGCATTATCCGAGAAACACACCATTAATGACTCTGCTGCAGAATATTATTGCCCATCTCCTTTGTTAGTAACAGTCCCTGTCCACTGCGTAGTTGGCGCGATCAAGGAGAGTGTCCCGGTACTTGAATATAGTTGTGTCCTTGAAAGGTTAGGAGCACATGATAAAGCTAATTCACATTGCGTAGTGTGCTTGAATCGAATGAAGGGTAGTGATGAAGTTAGAGAGCTCTGCAATTGCTGTCATATGTTTCATAGAGAGTGTATCGATGCTTGGATCGATGAAGGTCAAGTAACTTGCCCTCTCTGTAGAGCCAAACTATTGCCATATCAAGAAGAGGATGAAATGAAGTGTGGAGGAGATCCATGGAGAAAAGAGAGAATGATTTACTTGTTTGGTGATGATTTTGTGATGGGTACCTCCTAATATGAAGTTCTATAGCCACAAAGTTAGCATTTGGAGTACTCATTTTAATAGCAAGAACATTGAGACCTGCCATCTTCATGCACACACACACACAATTAATCTATATCTACAGTTCTTGAAGATAGGCTATTTAGCATGTATATTATGTCACTCTTTGAAATGTATATACATTGTGTACCGGAAGTTTTTACTCTTTGAAATGGATTCAAAACGTTTCATTATGTACATTTTTCTCTTGAATGCTCAAATATGTGTTCACTTTTAATTTAGTTCTTTCTGACCCACAACTATGTTTAACATTATTATTATATTTTTTTTCTTTTTTTTCTTTTTTGACATTGGCAAGAAATCCAAACTTTTTTTCTTATACGACTTGAACCAATAACCTTTTATTTTGAAATATGGGAAAGTATCACTATATTACAGTTTTTTGTTTCAGTTATATTATAGTAAAATATGAAAAAAATAAATAAAAAGTGGGATCATATGTATTTTTTTTAAATCCAGTGGGAAGAATTGAAAAAAATAAAGCAATTGATACCTTTGTGTTTACAAAAAGCTTCCATTTCTTGGTGGGATGCATACATGTAAATTAAGAAGCACTCATTTGACAAATTGAGGCATCCTTTTATGACCACAACAATCAACCATTTCAAGGTGGAGCCTGAAGTAGTAGTCAACAACGTCTAAACCTTTATAATTTATATAAAATCAAGTACATATATATATGACAAAATATCTGAATGAGAATTGACTTGAGTGATAATTTCTACCTGCTCAAAGGAGAAGTTGAGGCTTAAGTCTTCATGGAAAGCTACATAAAAGAAAAAGACCGATAAACTATCAAGTTATAAATTATAATTCAAGAGACAGTGAGGTTTCTGAAAATATATATTTACTAGACCATGAACCGTTTTTTTTTTTGGGTCCCTAAGCAAAATTTTACTTAAGCAACCAGCCGAACAAAACAGACAAAAGAGGACACAGCTTCTGGCAAACAGATTCAATCAAGAAACAACATTTCCAGAATCCAGCAATTAAAAATAGAGAGGAAAGAAACAAAGCATAGCATTAAAAGCTTCATAATTTATAAGTTTGATAATTTTGGATCCAAAAACATACAAATTTATGGGGGGAGCTTCAGAGATTTCGATAAGCAGGATTTTAATTGTTGTTCATCAAATTCATAATTAAAGAAAATGGACGATTTGATCACACTTTGAAGGGGTCAAAGTATTCGTGGAGCGTTGTTTGATCTACCAACAATCCTTCTACAGAGATCAAGAGTTAGCTTGAGGTCGAGAGCAGCTAGATGGGATAGTCGCAAAGTCAGGAATTGTAAGTAATTAGTTTTTGGTAGAATAATAGGATGGAACCTGTGTCAAAGTTCAATATACTTTGCTTTAAATATAGTGGATCGTTTTGTTCTTGACGACATTGTTCACTAAATTTTTCCCATAATAATTGGTTGATTTCCACTAGTCAGGTTTCCTTGCTAAAAATCAGGTATCATCTCTCAAACTTTATTTACTTTATTTGCACTTTATTTGATTTGTGAATTTGATTTTAGTTTTATTTCGGTAAAATTAAAATAAGAAAAAATTTGGTAAAGTAGCAAGTAAAACCTATATTCACCACTCATCTAAGTTATTTTAATACAAACTTCAACATCTTATTCCGATACACAACTCACATAATCATGTATAGATATTACAACTCGTAAACTTTCCCTACCCGTTGTACTCACTCATTACATTCATTGGTTACATGTCTCTTTACTCATATCTCACTCATTACCCTGACGGGTTATATGTCTCTCTACTCATACCTCTCAACAATAACCTACTTATCTATTTATGGAGTCTAAACCTCTGAAACTATAAATAATAATAATAATAATAATATACACGTAATTATCATATAATTTGAGACATTATCCTAACAACTCTACTTTGCCAAAAATATGTTCATTTGCACAAAATTGTCGCTGTTTCTTGCCGGAATTAGTATCTCCAGTTCGCACGTCTCCTTCGTTTGTCCCTTAACTCGGATAGCAATTCTCTGAAATTATAAAAAATAATAATAATAATAAACACGTAATTATCATATAATTTGAGACATTATCCTAACAACTCTACCTTGCCAAAAATATGTTCATTTGCACAAAATTGTCGCTGTTTCTTGCTGGAATTAGTATCTCCAGTTCGCACGTCTCCTTCGTTTGTCCCAATCTCAGTAATATATGAGACAGTTGCTAGAATAATGATAATTCAATATAAGAAGAAATTTTACGTTGACGTACAGAAAAAGATATCAAGGGAACAAACAAAAAAATGGATACCATTTTTGGAAAATAAAACTTCCATTATTTATTGAATAATAATAATAATAATAATAATAATAACTTCCATTAATTTATTGGTGGGATGTATATTGTATAGCAATCTTGCAAATTTTCCCATATTGAATTAGATTATCATGACTGTGAAACCTTAACAATTGTGGCTCATAGTCAACGAAAATATGCATGAAGTTATTGAGTTGGTCCCATCTGCATATGCATTGTCCCTTTCCCTTTTATAGCTGGATTTTATCTTCTGGGAATATTTGATGTTATAAGAAATACTTCAAATCATCCATTAAGCATCCAAGTTTGGTCGGATTATATAGTCTCGGATGAAGTAATAATTTATCGTATTATTTGTTCATATTATTTATAATGATTGTGGGGCTAGACCAATAGAGATGTAACGACCCAGCTCCTCATGGATCCGGATCATTAAACGGGTCCTAACCCGACCCAAAAACATCCAAGGGTGAAATAGTAATTTCACATTAAATTAAAATGTTGAGTTCCAAAAAGGGCAAGATGGTAATTTTTCATATTTCAATAAATTAAGAACTAAAGGACGTCATAGTCATTTACGTGCATCACACAATAATTAAAATGAGGTTCGGGGTAAAATAGTCCTTTTGGGGCAAAAATATAATTATGGCATTTAATTGAGTCATGAAAATAATTAATTTCAACTTCAAATGATGCCAAAGTGTAATTTTGAGAACTTAAATTGGTAATTACATGAAAAGGCAGAACCTGTCGACGTATACTCCTTATACGTCGACTGGTTTGGGATACTGGTTTGGGATACCGGTTGACTGGTTTGGGATCAGGATACCGGTCGCTGTATGGGATGCCATACGGTCGACTGGTTTGGGACGTCAATAACTCAAACATATACTGTGAAGATACCAGTCGACCGGTTTGGGTTATACGTCGACCGGTTCTTGAAAATCTTCACTCCCACTTTCCACTGTCCTGTGTAACCCCTATACACCAATTTTAGATTGTTCAACCATCCACGTCACAACACTTACGTGCAAAATTAATACATTTCAACAATAATTCAAGTACAACAACCACGTTATTAACGTAATTTACCACACGTCACTAAAATACACTAAACTGATTTTGAGTGAGTAATACTTAATTACATTTTCTCAATGATCATTCACAAAGTTAATTACATTCCCAAAACTATAATTACACATGAAATAGCTAAATACAAGATAGCAAAAATCATCTTCTAACAACTTTCAATTTTGAGGTGGATTGGCATCCGCCGGTTCTTTTCCAAGACCTGAAAAAAAATAATATATATTAGGGTGAGCTATATGCTCAGTAGGTGACACTTAAGACACACATCTTGTGTCCTTGTGAATCCAATCAAAGCATAGGCCAATGGGAAATGGGGATCATGCAATGTAGGGTTAAAACAACTTCAATGTCAATTCCAAGTGTAAACAATGCAATGCAATGAAATGCAATGCATGATATGTCACTCCCCATTTTTCATTTCTCAAAACCATACTTTCCAACTGTTAATACAGCCCGCCCTTTGGTAACCCCGCCACGACACGAGAGGAGGATTGGCTAGTGTCCCTGACCCTTGGTAACCCCGCGGCGTCATTATGGGGCCCAGCTAGCTCAACCACGCTAGGGTGACTCCCTAGACCCCTCTAGGCTATATTAACCTTCGGCCCGTTGGTAACCCTGCAGCGACCGGGTTTATCAAAACCATTTCACAAAAACTCTTCTCCCAAAATTTCCGTTTTCATTTCAAAAACTGATTTCTCCCGTTTCATGCAACCCAATGGCATGTACATGTATACGTGTCTCAAGTTTACAATATTATGGCATGTAGAAGTTTTACATTTCATAATTACTTCACAACTAAGCATATATCATATTCAACATCATCAATTGAGTCATCAACACATTAAACACAACAAAACTATCACCACAACATGCTTTTCACATAGAATAAATCATAATCAAAATCATGAATTTCTCTAGACATCAATAACACAACATTGAAGCAATTAACTCTCAAATTAAGCATGTTTATCACACAAAGGAGATATAACTCACAATGGAACAAGAAGGAAGTGGATTAAGGGCCCCTACCTCGAAAATGGACAAAACCCTAAAGATGGGTCCTCAAATTTGAACTCCAAGGAGGGCACCAAATCTGGAATTTCAGGTATGGATGCGTAGAGCTCGATGTGCTCGACGTTTTGCCTCAAACGGCACCTTAATTCGCCAGGTAATGAGAGAGTAATCAAGTCTCAAAGATTGGCTTGAAAAAAAAAAAGAAAATGCAAGTTTGAGAGAGTGGAAGAGAGAGTAGCGGGGAGGGAGAATGAGTGAGAGACCAAAAATGGTCTCTAGCCACCTATTTGAGATGGTGGTAGGCCCCTCCACTATGAATTCCTTTTCCATTTTCTTATACTTCAATTCTTACACCACACACAAAAATGCACCACATGAATGCTACAAAAATCATATAAAATTAAATGCACAAAAATGCAACTAGACCCAACCACAATCCCGTACGCAACATGTGAAAAGACAAAAATACCCCTGCGATAACAAGATTTCCAGAAAATGGAAAATACCAAAAATCGGAAACGTCACAAGAGAAGTGATGACGGCAACCAGAGACTATCGGCGTTGAAGAATAGATCGGAGAAGGAAGGTGTAAGATTTTCAATCCGAAACCTTAAGGCAAGTTATTTGTTCCACTCTTCTTCTAAGATCTTGTATTTGGTACAAGCCTAGGATGGTTTTAGGATGTTTAAACAGAATTAATGAACCTATTTGCATGATTAATCAGACTTAAAACAGAGGGTTTATATGTGTATATATATGTGTATATGCTTCATATGATCTTATGATTTAATGCATGAATTGTTGTTTAAGTTTGATGTAATCATGCATAATTACTTTAAATAAATTATTAAGAATGTTTGGGATTTAGAAAGCATGATTAGGACCCATAGCAATAGAGTTACAGGCAAATTACAGTGGTCAGAGATGAAGAAGATGACTCACATTAGGAATGAGCAGGCTCAGTTGAGAAGGAGCCGACTCAGTTCCTAAATGAGCCGACTCAGTTGAGACTGAGTCGCCTCAGTTGATAAAGGAGCTAACTTAGTTGGCTTGGGACTGAGATGTT